TCGTCGTCGTGGTTGTTGTTGTTGCTCTTCGTTGTTGCTTGTGTTTGTGTCTGTTTTGTAGTTGTTTCTTCTTAAGTGTGGTTGTTTCTTCTTAAGTCTGGTTCACCGCCAGTATAATTATATCGGGAGAGAGAGGGAGAGTGGGATCTTGTTGCTTGTGGTTGTTGTGTTTCGATGTACTAGGTCATACTGGCTGAGCACTGCTATGAGTGCAAAGGCTAGTTGCTTCACCCCTCCCTCGAAGATGGCAACATTGTCATTCTACAAAGATTTCACCAGCTTCAGAACGCAATCTCAAGATGGCTGCCCTCTCCTGCTGCCCAGGTTCTACCGCAAAGGCGTCAAGAAATATCTGGGAGAAGAGGCCGTGAGAGTGTCACTGAAGCCGCTGAGGTAGAGCCAAGCATTCCCTGACGGCAAAACCCCAAGTTGGGCTCTAGCTTTACCTTTGCCTCCTCCAGCACTTTTGCCAGCATGGCCGCCGCGCCGATGCGAAAGTTGCGCCTACTCCCGGCAATGCTCGCCCTTGCGGCCGTGGTCGCCCCGTGCTTCGTGGCTGCCCCGGGCAAGAAAAGCGAGGTTTCGGTAGCCACGGCGGCCGGAATGGGCGTGGCTCTCCTTGCGAACATCGAGGCGGCTTCTGCCGCGCTGCCGCCGCTGGAGGATGTGCCACTCGAGGAAATCGGCCAGACAAGGCAGGGGATGTTGGACAAGGAGTCCGACACCTTCATGGGCATCAGCTTTCCGATTTGGCTTTTCGTGATTGGCGGCGCAGTGCTATGGGCCCTGACCTGGATCCTGAGCATCAAACCCGCCAAGGATGCCGAGGGCACTTACAGGACACTAGCTATTTTTTAATAGGTCCCGCGGGAAAAGAACAAAATCCAAAACTTCCATATGCATTATAGGGTTATACCTTTCTTCGTCCCGAACAGAGCACCAAGCAGAGGACCTACATCGGAGCCGGCGCACTGCCTCCGGATGGATTTACGAACCCGGCCGACCCCCGAGTGGTGGAAGAGGCGGGCATTTTTCTTGCAAAAAGGAGCAAAGTCTTTAAGCCTGAAACCTTAATCTCCTTAAACCCTACAGCCATAAACTCTCAAACCCTTAACCGAAAAAGTCCAAGTCCTTCAGCCTTTTCTGACGCCTGGTTGGACGATGATTTAGCAGAATTGCGGGCACGATGTAAGGTTTGAATTCCAATTGTAAGATCCGCTCGTGAAAGGGACCATTAAATAACGGAGGCCAGAGATTTCAAAAAGCATCAAACATCCCAAACCCTAAAGCCCTAAAGTCTAAAAGCCTTGTTTGTTGCCGTAAACTCGAACTCCCCAAAGCGCCTCAGTTGGCGGATGAAGACGACGAGCTCTACAGCGATGAGCTGCGGCCGGGTGATGCGAAGGGAAAGCGAGCCGCAAGCTCGGCCATCGTTTGAAGAGAGAGAAGGGGGACCATCTATGCTGCAAGAGCGATTCCAACATCTATTACAGATATGCGAGTGTGCAATCTACGTGTACACGCACGTACATACACGTATTGTACATGTATGTGGATTTGCCGGCATCTGCGAGTCCTCCCCCACATCATGATATCACATGATTTTTGGAGGGGGTTGAGCCGGAGCGCGGGCACACACATCTTATGTCTAAACTCAGAAAACTTATGCACCACACACATAAACATGCAGATGTATGTGTGCAACGTATGTAATGTCTGTATGTATGTATGCATGTAATGTACTGTAATGTAACGTAATGTAATGCAACGTAATGTAATGTAATGTAATGTAATGTAATGTCATGTAATGTAATGTAATGTAATGTAATGTAATGTAATGTAATGTAATGTAACGTAATGTAACGTAACGTAATGTAACGTAATGTAACGTAATGTATGTACGTATGTATGTATGTATGTATGTATGTAGGTATGTATGTATACATGTATGCATGTAAGTATGCATGCATGCATGCATGCATGTATGTATGTATGTATGTATGTATGTAGGTTATGTATTGCATTGTACCGTACTGTACTGTACTGTATCAATTGTCTTGTATTGTATGCTATCGTATGTATGTATGTGTGGATGTGGATGTGTGTATGTATGTGTATGTATGTGTGTCTGTTTGTATGCATGTATTGTACGTTGGTATGCATGTCTGCATGCATGCATGCATGCATGCATGCAAGAAGGTATGTGTGTATCTGTGTATGTAAGTAAGTATCACTTCGAGAGGGAGTGACAAAGGATAGTGCTTATTGATGTGTTGTGGTTGCTTTGTTCGCTCGCTTGGGCACACTCTCGTTTGCATTCTTGATTATAAGCATTCTGTTCCTACTAAGTTCGGTTTTGTGGCTTACTAAAGTTTGTTCTGTGTCTAGCTATGCTTTGGTTTTATTTCCAGTTGTTCAGTGAGATGTATGTGTCATGTGTGCACACGATATGATTCTGCAGCGTTCTATAGGTACACGAACAGACGTAAGAACACATACATGCATGTGATCACATGTGTATGTTTGCATACATGCATGGGTGTATGCATGTTTATGTATGCGTTTATTTTTGTATGTGCTCCTGTATGTGTATGTATATAAGCACCTATAGGTTCCGTATGTACGTGTGTATGTTTGCCAGCACGTATATATGTATGTACATATGCATGTATGCATGTATGTATGTATGCATGCATGCATGCATGCATGCATGCATGTATGTATGTATGCGCGCCTGCGTGCATGCATATCTGTATGTATGTATGCATGCATGCATGCATGCACGTATGTGTGTGTGGCCGTGCCTGCATGCATGCTTGCATCCTTGCATGCTTGCATGTATAGATGGATGGGTGGGTGGGTGGATGGATGCATGGATGCATGGATGGATGGATAGATGAACGTATGGATGGATGGATGGGTGGATGGGTGGATGATTTGATGGACGGATGCGCATGCATGGGTTATGTTGGTTTGCCTGCCTTCCTTCCTGTCGGTCTGTGTCTGTGTGTGTGTGTGTGTTCGTGTACGTGTATGTATGTATGTACATACGTATGTATGTATGAGTATTTGCTGATCCGTATGTAGCTTTGCTGGCCATGAGGCGCCTTGCCAGTTGTTTTTTTTGCGAGCTTTCGCTTCGTCAATGGTCTCGCGAGGTTTAGACGGTGCTCGAGCAACCCTGGAATCGCGGACTGGGTTTCTGGTGAATTCTGAAACTTCTGCAACTGTGTCGAAATCCCTCCGTCTGGAAACATGTGAACGTGTTTGAGGCAACAGAAATCTGCGAAATGTGTGAAGGTGAAGATGCACTTGCTGCAAGAACTTCCTGTTAGGTTGGCACTCTATTCTCGGCTAGGCTTCGTTGAGGATACGCACAAGGTTTTGGCTTCCCTTAGTTTCGAGAGAAGCCTAGCACACTCGCCAGAAGATGTTCAGACAGGACATCTCCCGCTTGACACACCTGAAAGTTTTCATTGCTCCATGGTGTAGCGAGTCGCTTATTTGTATAGAAACCACCAAAAAGTTGGAAACCGGATGAAGGCCAAATAGTGCTGGGATTGCTTATACGTTAGTCTTAAGGTTTGACGCTATTGGGTTTCCAACTTTTGGGCTTCTACTGTTTGTGGATAGCGAGAGCAATTCCGCATGTCGATTACCATGGAAGTTGGACTGTTTAGTGGGAAGATTACTGCCGTTGAAGAGGGCCTGGATGAAGAAGTTTCCGCACTGACACTCCGGGCGCAAACAGCACTTTGAGTTACACAAGGGCTGCTGGTGGACTCGACTGGCAGCATTCCGGATGCCCGAGCTTTGCTCAGGGATACCTGGGGTGCAGAATGGCGAGCCCCGTATCTTACAGGTATATCGAGTTCAGGCATGTGGCAGTATAGGTGCATGTGTTGCTGTTCTTGCTGCTGCGTCGGTCGTGACCTGGCGTCATGCGACGAGCGGCGGTGACAGCAGTGCTGCGCAGGATCAGCTGAAGATTGTACAGCAAGTCCACGAATCTGAACGTGCTTTTGCTGCCATTCTGGGTGATGGATTCTTCGTGACCTGGAGAGATGCCCGCAACCCATGCGTCTAACAGACTAGCAGGAAGATGACGACAGCACTACCTACTGACACCAATCGTAATGACAATGATAATACAAGCGTGCCTGCTCTAGGTTCATGCAGCCTCTAAAAGCCGCACTATGATATACCCCCAGAGCCCAGATCTAATCGTTCAGCCACCTACATGAGGCGAGGACACAGGAAGTAGAGGTTCGAAGGATGTGTATTCAGGTTGTGTTTTCTGCTCCAAGATTTGCTTACGTGCAGGCAGCGGCCAGTGAACAAACCTTTGAAGGCGGGCCGATCTTCATCTTTCGTTTAGTTTTAAGGTTTTCAAAATAGGATCTGGGGATATCTGGTGTTTAGTTAGGGATGTTCACGGTATGGCGGCTGGTTTCACGATGTAGCGCTTGAGTCTTGAGTGCTGTCGCTCCAATCGACTCCTCGAGGTCACTATAAGGCCCCAAGCGTTCAGGCACGCCTCCGCAAGCCTTGCCTTCACGCATCCGGTGCAGGTTGGCACCGGGGTCCTGCTATTCATGGCAATGTAAAACCATGCGCAATGCGAGCCTACGACTGCAGGTAGTCATTGTTCGTGCGGGTCCCGCCCCTGGAGCTGCCACCCGATCCGAAGTTTGCTGCACCTCTTCATGCAAGCTTTTCTGAAGGGTCTTATAAAGGGTCAGGGACATACTAAAATCTCCCCTGTGATATAGCGTGGGCGGTGGTGATGCAAGGTTTTACAGCGCGCAAGAAACTCAATATTTTGCTGGGCTCGTTGGCCCGCTGCAACCTCAGTTTTTTTTCGAGGCTGGGGTTCGCGAAAGGCTCAGGCAGTCTTCTGCCGACCCGAAGCCTTCAAATCACACAGAATCAGAAGGCCCCAATCCTGCCAAGGCAGTCTCGAAGAGATCGCAGGCAGCACCTCTCTGCAGACGGCCTCGGCCGCCCTTCTTCATGCCCTCGTCTTCGACGTAGATGCATCTTGGAACACAGTGAGGTTCGGGCTGGGCCGGCTTATTTGGGAGTTCTGGACGTTTAGCCGCTGGTCCCTTAGAGGCCGGTCGTGTGGCAGAGTTGGGAAACTGTAGACTCCGATGGCGCCGCATGGGTATATGGATCGCTAGAAACACCTTTAATCCTTGAATATTTGACATTGGGAGACCCGCCTGCAAACCCGGACCAAATCCCAACGGAGTGGATCTACATTATATCATTATAGGCGGCGTCTTGTGCTTAATAACTTAGAAGCAGTGCTTCCTCTCATCCGGAAGTTCCTCCTCACCAGCGATGCGCTTGATCAAGGTGTCGCAACCCTCCAGCTAGCCGAGTTTCTTGCGACGCCCCTCACGTCTTAAGCACTGTTGTTGTTAATATAAATATGTTGGCTAATTTGTTTATTGCCATTGGCCACCATCCCGAAACCCGGGCTACACCCCAAAACCCTAATCCCTAGCCGCAAAGGACTCCTTAGGTCCCATTTCCATGCAAAGATTCCGGCTAAGATCAGCTAAGGCAGGATTCACCGTGGTCGACACGCCACTCACGGCCGCCGCGACGTCTTTCCGTGGCGCATATACAGTTTGGCTCTTCATGGGCTTACGGACTCTGCTTTTTTGGATATAAGGAATCTCGGTCCGTTTTGGTCTTTCGAAGTGTGAAGCTGTCGTCTGCCCTCGCATTCGGATGGCTTGACTACACCTCCTGTTCGTAGGATCGCAGGATCAAACGAACCACCAAAAGTCTGCATCACCAGCGGCTACTGCCGAGAAAGCAGGACAGCATTCTGATGCACGGGCTGGCTCCCGGAAGGGTCTCGGTTACCGGTTGGTAAAGCTTCAGGCAATTTCTCTATGGAATTGTATGGAGTTGGCTCAAAACTGCCCAAGATTCGGGGCCTGCGCAAGGACCTCGAAAGCGTACATCCAGAAGTACGAAACCCCCAAACCTAAACACTAAACCTTAAACCTCAAACTTTAAACCTTAAACCCCTAATGCTTCACTGAATACCGAACTAGGACCTAGGAGGACTCTTTCTTTGAGAGAATCCCTTATAAGCTCAGGTGGACCTCGCTGGGAGCGGCTCTTGCTGCCTTGTGTGGGGCCAGAGCCCTGACAAGACCGTGATAATGGTATATAATAGCAATAAAGAACATAAGAAGAACAGTTGTATTAAGAGTAATAGCAATAACAACAATAGTAACAATAGTAGGAATAATACGAATCATAACTAACTGTTTGACTTATATCTTATGTCATGTTCCTTCCTACAGAGCCCAAGCATGTGCAGTGCATTTGGCAAAGAGATTTAAGGAGATATGGCGAATGGATGTCGATGATGCTCGCGCAGCTGCTTCTTGACAGAGGTTCAGAAGCCCGTGTGCTATCACTCAAGAACCGGCTTCCTTGATCGAATATCTACATGCTGGTTTGTGATCCTTTTTGGAAAGGAGAACTTCGTTCCTCATTCTGCTGTCCATAGAACGGCGCCCGGCTGTCAAGAGTGCAACCCCAGCACCTGTGTGTTTGTCGTCGGGCTACGCTTGTGAACCGTGGAGCATGCAACTGGTATCAGTTTTAAGTGACTGCGCCCGACATGTCCGTGCGGAGAGCGGGTGGGCGCGGAGAGAGGCAGACAAGGAACAAACATATGTGCAGAGACTGCTGCTCCTGGTGACTAGGCCTTGTTCGTCCAGCAGTGGGCGGGTACCTTTGTCGGCGTTGGCGCTGGTGCAGTAGCGCGCTTTGGCATGAAGACGCCGGTGGAGCTCCAGGAGCGAACTATTAGTATTAGTAGCCCGATCACCATGTTGAAATCATTACCGTTGTTACTCATATGTTATGGCTTCTGCGGTCTGAATATCTTTTGTAACATTCATACAAATGCATTTATCTATTGTCACTCTCTCTCTCCCTCTTTCTCTCTCTCTCTCTCTCGATCTCTATCGTTCACTTCTATATCGAACCCAAAAACAGATCTGCATTGCAATCGCCACTAGGCCCGAAACCAGGGATTTGCAGCAGCTGCCTTGTTGAGTCGGTCATCTCAAGAAACATGTCAGCCAAGCCCTGAACCATCCGGTCACACTTGGCCCGTGCATCCCCTATCTATGTATGTATAGATTTATTTATTTATAGGGTATATCATATGTTAAATATATATATATATATACATACATACATACCAGAGTCAGGAGACGTCTTGCGGCTGTTTGCTCAAGTTCCGTCCCGTCGGCACACCACCGGCCAAGAAGTTTGAGGAGCTTGAAGAAGGCCGGTCCTCTGTTTGTTACATGGGAGTTTCCGAAAATTAGGGGTACCTTTTTTTGGTCCTTATAATAAGGATCCTATTATTTGGGGTACTATATTTGGGTCCCGTATTTTCGGAAACCCCCAGATGGTCTTCTTGGCTTCAAAAGTGTACTGACCTGCATCTCGGGGAAAGCTAGCGCGATTGCATGATGATGAGCCTGGAGGTCTAATTTCACCGTTTATTCCTTTCCTCAAAGGTATATTGTGCTTTGTGTTGGTGCAAGTCTGAAGATTAGCGGATAAGCACTGCTGCTACCAGAGGCGTTTAATTTGCCGGTGCTACTACAAGTACGACGACGACGACTGCTGCTGCTGCTGCTGTATTCCTGCTCTGTCATCTTTTTTTCTGACTGCTGGTATCATAAAACAAAACATGAACACCTCAAGTCGTTTTTCGCCATCCCCTTTTGCTTCACCTGTCAACGCAAACTTTCTTCATTGAGACAACTAACCAAAACAAGACCGCTGTAGAACAAAAGGTTACGCTTAGCCATCTAAAAAGCCTGTGCCCCGCTGCATGCAGAGAGGCGGTGTCGAATTCCTGGCCGAGGCTGCAGCTTCAAGCCTTGACATGAGGGGTCAGGAGAACAGAGGGTAGTTTCGTTCTGTAGGCACTCGTAGAATAGACGACGATGAAGGGGCAAAATTCAAGTTTGTCATTTGATTGGTGGGATGATGATCAAGAGATCTGCGGGCAGGCTGGTACTGACAAACCAAGATACAACAAGATGTGTCAGCAGATACAGTGCCACTTTGTGGAAGCATCCTTGTGAATCGTGTTTGGTTATGGACATTCCCCTCAACCTTAAACCCTAAATCGTAAATCCGAATGTCCCAGTTGTGAGTGCTGAAATCGTAAATCCGAAGCCCTAAATCCGTTGCACCAGAAACTGCAAACTCCGAGCTCCAACCCGCCCCCAGCATTGATCAAGAAACCGAAGCCCCAGAATGCCTGGGCTAAAGGCTTATTTTGATCTAGGGTTTGCTTGGCCGTGGGCTGTTGTTGCAGGCTTGTCCGAGTGTGAGCGGCCAAAAGTGCGCAGAGACTGTGACGAAAGGCATGCGAATCTCATGGTAGTGAGCCTCCCCTAAAGCTCCAGGTGCCCATATAGTAGATACTTAGGCCTTAAAGTACCTATATAGGGACCCCTTTAAGGCCTAAGTATCTACTATAAAAGTACATGGAGCCTTTGGGCTCTATAACCGATCTATCGATGCCGACGCAAGGGGTTTTGGACCTGTCCGAGTGTGAGAGCGGAGGCCATGATGATGACGCTGAATATCCTAATCCCTGTAGGAGAGCCCGGTGAACACCGTCTCAAATGCTATACTCTGGCAATTGTTAGACCCATAATCATACGCATAATAGTACCCATAATGGTACCCGTAATGGTACCGGAGCATCGTGGTCCCATGTCAATGAAGCTCCCTTCGTCGACCTGAACAGCGTCGGCCGGAGAGTCCGACTTGCCAGAGTCTACAGCCCCAAACCCGAACCCCAAAGTAAAGATAACACATCCAAACCCTGAAACCTCTACAAACGCGAGATCGGGCATAAAAGGCCCTAAACCCTAAACCCTAAAATGCCTGGTTTGTCCGAGAGTGAGAATCAAAAAAACCCTAAAATCGAAAAGGCCCCGGAGGGAGAGCAGCCTCGTCTTCGTGTTCGGCGCGCGGCGTACAGCGCCAAGGCAGGCGGCCTCCAGGGCGATTTTCTGTTCAGGGTTTTTAGGGTTTATAGGGTTTATAGGGTTTAGGGTTTATAGGGCTTATAGGGTTTATAGGGTTTACAGGGTTTATAGGCTTTATAAAGTTTATAAGGTTTATAGGGTTTAGGATTAAGCCCATCTTTAGCCGAGTCCCTCTACCTCTATATTTTTTGAACATCAGTATGACCATGACCGAAGAAACGCATGATGCTACAGATTCTGGAATCGAGGATGGCGGCGCAGGAAATCTTGCCACTACGATTGACTCTACAACACCAGCCTTAGCAACTAACTGTCGCCAAAAAGCGTCTAATCGCCCGACCAGCGGATTTTGTTAAGTTCACTGCCGGCATGAGGGTGTTTCAAGCGCTGGGAAGGCAGGTATTCAGCTTTGTCTGTCTCACCCTAACACCCCAGTTACCTACTATATAGGGTACTAGAGCGCCTAAGGCCCCATATAGTAGGTACCTGGAGGGTTAGGGTCAGCTTTGCAGAAGGCTTCGTGAAGCCGGGCGTTTGGGCATGCGAGCATTCGGAAGAAGCGGACAGGACGGAATCGATTACAGACTGTCTCCCTTGGGCTTCTGGGTCATCTTGCCTAGAATTGGCGAACTTGCTGTCTGATGGCTTTGGGAAGTCCTCGGACAAACATCGCTCCAGCTTCGCGCTCACCCCAACGTCGACCGGAAGTCTCATCACCGGCACATACCATGGGACCTTTGTGCTCTGTCCAATAAAGACCTGGCTGCTTTAGGGCCGGAGCTTGAAAGATACTTGTGCCTTGCAAGCCCGGAAGCATCGTCAGCCTTTCCTGTCTTGTGGAAGTCGACTGCCTCTACGTTCGGCTCACTGTAGGCCAAGGGAGATCGAACTGCCCCAGGTCAGACCCCTGCAAGCTCGTGTGACATGGGAGTTTCCGAGAATACGGGGTACCTTATTCTGGGGTCCTTATAATAAGGATCCTACTATTTAAGGTACTATATTAGGGTCCCCTATTTTCGGAAACCCCCACCTCGCCCCAAATTTCGGAGGCAGTGGTCAAGGCCAACTCTGAGAGAGCTTTGCTGGAGCAGTTTCAGCGAGATTGGGCTGAAGCCCGACAAGCTACCAGGCTCCCCTGGGCCGTCTTCTAGGCTGTCTACCATGGTTTGGATTTGCTTGGCTCGTTGGCTACCTTGTAACATAAGGTCGATGGTGGTTCAGGGCTCCACCCTGAAAAGGGTGGATGACAGCAGAGACTGCGCAGCTGCTTCTGTTTATGTCAGCTCAAGCTCCCTGCCTGTGACTCACAGGGGAGCTTCAGGGAAGTATGGGTCCCTTATTCAAGGCCTATTCAAACAGGGATCCTACGCTTCAGGTTCTTTTAGGGATCTCTACGTCCAAACTCCCACACCATTTTTCCGGCAAGGGGTTTGTTGATTGGTTTACGGCGAGAGGTTCGAAAAATCACTGCATGCTGCATTCCACATGCGTCCACACGCTGAGCCGGACCCTTCTGTCGCAGAATGGTTCATGATCCCTTCGACCCTAAACCCTAAACCCGTAGTTGCCAAGACTTCAGAGCAGAAGGAACATATGATCAGCACAGATGTGAAACAAAAACCACTGTATGATTATGCATGCACATATACATACACATACACATGTTTCCCTTCATCATGTGCATATTTGTTTGTACATACAGATGCACACTCACGCACCTACATAAATATAAAAAATACACATAGACACACGCATACATAGACATAAGCGTATACATGCACATCTACACACACACATACACACACACATATATATATATATATGTATATACACATATTTATAGAATATGCTAATACACGCCAAAGACATATACATGCATGTACCTATAAATGTGCACATGTGCTTGTTTATGATCTGCAGGCACCGATTTCGTTGTTCTTTAAGCAGTCCAAAGGTTGGGGCACTGCACTGTGCGGCTCAAGATTAGAATGCTTGGAGCACAATTTGGAGCACAGCAGACCACGAAACACAGAAAGTCAAAACAATATTCCGACTACATAGGCCCATAGCCCAAGCCGTTTGCTTAGCCGGTTGACAGCTGCTGTGGACACGATTTTCTCAATCGAAGACTGTCGTGTGTCTCCTGGGTGGCCTGCAATTTTCTCAACATCTTACGTGAACATTCTCGAAGTTCTGGTGAAATCACATCCACCCAAAGTCGAAAAGCCTCGTAAAATTACATCCCATGTTTCTCTCATAAAACACACCGAGCACAGCTATGCCGCACAAACTCGATAGACCTGATCACCACCCAAGCTGTTGTGCACGCGATGGCTCTTCTCGACCGCGAGCGACTGTGCCGCATTGAAGAGCTCGCGAACCAGGCGGACCCGGGAATCTCGTGTTTGGTGCAGGCAGTCCTTGGGTCGAGCGTCCCGTGCAAAAAGGCTAGACAACCTTGACAATTTCAGGGATAGGGCGGGCAAGGCGAAGTAGTTTCGCTGATGAAGCTCGCAGTTCCCAATCCTCCGCCCAATGTTTGGGAACAGCCCCAGCCGGTCTGCGCACTTGGCTGAGACGGGTTGCAGTATGTTGCTTCTGTCAGTTTGGTTGTCGTGGATTGCATCTCAGGCTCACCTGCCCCTAAGCACCAAACCAGTTCAAGCTGGGCTCGACTCGGGATCTGCGGCTCTGTGACTGCGGTGAATCACACTTCGGCTCGGTGAACCACTGCTAAGCACGCGCTGAACACGTTGCAAGATGCGGTTGTGGATCCTGGCAGCTGCAACCTTCGCAGCACTCGTCGCAGGGCGTTCCGAAAGACATGCCGAACATTCGCGCTTGATTACTGTGGAGCCTCGTGAGGTCCTCCAAACGCAGGAAAAGCTTGTGGAGTTGGACCGCCAAAGAAACGGCCGGCGAGAGGCAGGGCCTTCAGGGCTGGAGCTGTTGCATAATTAGCTGGATGTGTCGTTGCAATCATCGTATAGTTAAAACAGTATCAGCCGCAGAGTTTTCGCACCACTGTCCCTGTACTGTGGTGACGATGGCAATGCAACGGGAGAGACAGCATGTGTGTCTTTGTGTTTGCGTGCATGTGCAGGTGTGTATACTGGCATATGAGGCCTGCCACAAATCAGCACAGATCCCATGAACCCTTGGTGCTTCCTTGATCGAAGCTTCTCAATCGTATAAGGAGACCCACTTCAGGGATTCTTGAGCTTCGTTCAATCTGCTGAGGTTTAGGCCTGAGTCGGAGAGTCGGACCTCGCACCAGCCAATGTGGGAGGCTTTGGGTGCTTTTCGCCGCGGAGAAGCCAACGTCCGGCCGGGCTCCTGTGGAAGATGGGCTTGCTTTAAGGGCCCGTTTTTACAGTGGACGCCAAGCAAAGCTGGGAATGGAACTTATTTGTTGCCATTGCCGCAGTTTTGGGAAGCAGGCCTGGCCTGGTTAACTGTTTCAAGTTCAGCATTTGCAGTTATTCTTGTGCTGACCGGGGTCTTCGAGCCTTAGAGGCTGCAAACTTGGTTGAAGCCTTGCCAACTGCTGCATTTCAACACGGAGCCGTGATGCCTGACGAAATTGGCGGTCGTCAGGGGTTCCCCCCTTTGCGAAAGATTATCTTCCGGCCGAACCTCCTGGCACGATTTGAAATCCTCACGCCCAGAGCATCCTCAAGCCTCAAGCCCTGCACCACAATGTGGAGGCTTCGCCAAAGGACACCTGGAGTCTTCGATCGGAAACCACACGCCCAGAGACCTAGGTCCCTAAACCACAAAGCAGTCCCTTTGAGACATTTGCGAGTCTGTAAGCCCAGGTCGTCGCAGTGGATTGCCACACAGGGCCAGTTCATCCGCCTGCCCGGGAAAACTGCGAGGCGTTATGGCTTCTCGAGCAACTTGAGGAGGAGATGGTGTCGGGCCATAGGGCTGCGAGTGTGGGATTTGGTATTGGTGACCGTGAAGTTCAAGGCTTATGGCGAACCAGCAGAGAAAGAATACTGTTGTTACGTAGCCTCACGAAGCCTCGTCTCAGTCAGGAGTCTTGCGCTACTTCGAGGTCGTTTTCAGTTCAAAGTGCGTCGGAAACTGTATTGGATGATATAAGAAGGCAGACCTAAACCTCGAGCCTGATAACACTCCCCGAAATGGCTTGTCACACTTGGCAGGTCCTGGCTGACAGAGCAGCAGCAGGACTGCTCGGATGCGCTGGGGCCTTGCTGGCAGGTGTTCTTTTAGAATCTAGAGTCTAGGGCGGGTCTAGAGGCAGGATCTTTCAAGGGTATGGTGCAAGGGCGCATGTGCGCAAATGAAGCACCCTCAACATGCGGGCCTTCGCCCTAAACCCTAAACCAATATCCTGGAACCCTAAACCCTAAACCCTAAACTGTTGAAGTGCTTCGCCTCGCCAAAACATCGACATGCGGCGCTGTGAGGACACCGAGAGGCAAGTCGCAACGGCCCGAAGCGACCTGAAGGCAAGAACTCCTCTGTCCTAGGTAGTACCTGTACTACCTATAATATAGGTAGTCTCCATTGTAGTTCCTTTTTGGGGGTACCTTTTAGGATCCTTATTATGGAACTACAATGGAGACTATAGGTATATACCAGTATGGTGACCATTATGGGTACTATTATGGGTATGATTGTAGGTCTAATAATTGTGTGGCAACAGGTGCACCGTGAGCCTTTACATTGTTAGCACCATTGGTTGCTACTGTGGGATCCTTTGATCTGTCCTATGTTTCGCGTTTCGAACCCTGAAAGCGCGCGCGATGCTACAAGTTTCAAGCGGACCATAAACTTAAACACAATGAAAATTGAAAGAAAGCTTTTGTGTTTTTGGCATGTCGGACACAGGCAGCACCAGGACCCCCTCACCCCCAAACTCAATGTTGCAAGAACATGAAGACATCTAAGAGCCATAGCACCCAGAATAGTACCCATACTGGTATCCCTGAAGCTGTCTCTAATATCCTGAAATCTTCTCAAGCTTGTCCAGGCTTTGTTAGTGTTGGATCTGCAGCGGTTACTGGGGCCGATACAAGATACCAGGAGCATCGGTCAGCTGTGATTTGTATGCCAAGCAAGAGCTACGAGTGAACTGAGGTTGCCATATTCGAGTTTTCTGATGTTTCTTTAGGCTTTAGACTCATGCTTTGCGTTTCCTGTGTTTTGGAAGGAGCATCGTGGACCCCAGTCAGAGTAGAATGTGAGCTCAGTTGCCTCGGTGAGGGCAGCATCTTGATTTGCTTGCAGCGTTTGTCAAAGTCGCAGTGTCTGCACTGCAGACTTGCACCCTGAGAGATGCAGGTGCAGCTGCAGGATCTGCTGGCGGAGCACCCTAGGGTTACCTGGCAACTCTTTGTGTAGTGCGCCGCAGGACGACTTTCCAGCTGACAAAATTTAGCCTCTGTCTGGAGACCTCCGAACACACTCCTCACCTGTGAGTTTTCGAGTTGCGCCACAGACCACAGAGAGCCTTAACCTACCAAAAACCTGAACCCGTAAAGCCTTAAACCAAAGGCATTAGGTTACCGTCACCCTTACCCTGAGGTCCGAACAGGAATTGTCACCCCAAACTGCCTAAGACCCTGTTCCGATTATTCAGAAACCTTCTGAAAACCAGTGTCAACACTACCATTTCCAACAGACCCTACTCCAAACATGAATGCCCTTCTGCAAGTTGCATAGAACCCCTCAAAGAAACGCTTAACACACTCTAAACATCTCTGTTAAAAGAATCTTCTAACTGTTCACAGCCCTGTTTGCGGCCATGAGGTCACCGATCTCCCTGCCGGGGTCTCCGCGTTGCTGCTCTCCGAACAGCGGCCCCCCGAGGCTTCGTGACCGGGGGTGGGGGGCCTAGGATTTAGGGGTTAGGCTTAGGGCTGAAATAGTTAGGAGAGTCCTAGCATCGCGATGCTTCTATGTTTGAGTTTGGGCTTCGTGCGGTGTTAAATGTGGGTTAAATACGTGCATCTCTATAAGTATAACGATAATGATAATGATACTAGTACTAGTAGTAATAATAATCAGAATCATAAAGTACACTACACATATACACGTGTGTGTGTGCTTTATTGGCATTAATGATAAATCTAGATATACGTATATACATGCGTGTGTGCATAACATGTTAATACAGTGC